TGATAGAGTGATTCCGTTGTGCTACATATAAAATTGATGTAAAGACAAATATTCTCATTATAGCATCGTAAATCGAACTCTGTTGCTTTATGTGCCACTTCTGTGTTGTCATGTCTTACTTCAGGAGACCCCCCCTGCCCCCCCTCTTGTCTGACAGAGATAGTCTCCCGCTCCTCCTGAAATTATCTGGATATTTACAGGAGTGCATGTGTGAAAACGAAGTATTGTTAAAATTAATAGTACCTGCTTGTGAAAATCATTTAAACTTCCAGTTGCCAAGATGTCAGATATGCACTATGTAGTTTTGGTAGAGAAATGTAAAAGTTGGAGAAATGTACAGATTCTCTAATATATGTCCATAACTCTATACATAAAATGTGGTCACTGTAACACTGTTTGAAGATAAGGTGGTGGGCCATGGTTTATTGCCAAGTACATTTACACATACAAGGAATTTGACTTGGTGTATTGGTGCTAAACAACTAACAAGGAAATAAAGCAGAACTAACAACAACTTAAATAAAACAGAATAAGAAGCTATTACAATGTATAAAATAGAATTTAAAAATGTAAAATATTAAATATAAAAAATAAAAAAATAATAAAAACAGTAACTCTCCTGGTTGCTTTTTAGCTCCAAACAGTGTCCAGGGAGCCATTTTTTCTTTGAATAAAGTTTGTGTATTCAGTTCAGAAATCATAGCATGGATAGAATTGTTCCACTTCTCCAACTTTCAAATTTCACTACCAAATCTAGAGTGCACCTTTAACTTTGTATTTGACAGTAAGATGTTATGATCAGTTTATGTATGGCATTAAGATTGTTGCTCAAATTTAATTTGTAAAATGACCGTTGCTGTCCATGAAGAGCGACCTGGGTTACTTTCACAATAAAGTTTAAAAATCCCAGACATTTGGTTGTAGCATCTAATCTGTTTTCACTTCAAGTTTGTGCACACTGGTTCATGAACTGAGATGACGAATGCAGAGATAATATAAACATCAGACTTTGGGAATGAGGAGCTGAAATCAGTATCCAACCCTGCCACCTCAGCTCTTCGCTGCCGCTTTGCAGCGACTGCAGAGCACATCTAAGAATCTCAGAGGTCACTGATTGATGGCTGAAAGTGGCAAAGAGACGGTCAGACTTAAAGCCTGCAGATTAAATCACCACAGAGGAGAGAGTGTGAAGGGCCGAGTGCGCTCCCTGATCCCTGCAGGTTTACATAATGTAATGTCCAGCCACCACATGACCTTCGAGGATTGTCGGGGGATTACATAAGAGGGCAAGGCGAGATCCAAAGACGATAAAAGCCTGTAGATGGGTAGTTAGATGGCTCTCTGATCTGTGCGACTGCTCTGACTTGTGAACTAATTCACCATGAGAAGTCAACCAGCGGCTGAGCTACGTTTCCGCCCATCCGACCGTGTAATCTCTGTCATTCATTCTCTCATGAGCGTTAACTGGAAATAGCCTCCTTCCTGCCAGATCTCCTGACGTCAATGAGCAGTGATAGTGCTAATCAAATTAAACTTCTGTGTTTCACTGTTTGGGTAATTATACTTTTTCTTCCATAAGCACAGACAAAAATGTTGCAGATGCAGCGAGAGATAAGAGGAGTTACACACACACACACACACACACACACACACACACACACACACACACACACACACACACACACACACACACACACACACACACAGATGGGCAGTGGGAGTTTACAGAACAGCCTGAGAGAATGATAACTGTTCCAGTTATGTTTCTTTTTTCAAATCTCACATGTGAAAGCTCTGATGTTTTCTAAGAAGCCGCATGAAATCCAACCGATCCAGGGCCGACCATAAGGGGGGGAAAATAAAAGGGAAGACTTTCTGTCACCATTATTAACACAACAAAAACACACATTCTCATCATAGCCTGTATCAAAATGTTTTACCCTCTTCTTAAAATTGCACAAGTCTGAGCTTTTTTTGACGTGTGACTTTTTGATCCAGTAGATGTCGCCCTTGGGCCTCAGCAAGAAACCAAAACAAACTGCTGTTTGGTGACACCTCTGCTTTTCTGAAGCCTCCGCTCTCCTCCAGAGACACACCTCCAACCCCTCTCCACTCTTGTTTGCACAAACGAGTTATCAAATTGGAACACACCGTAACTAGGCACAAGCAGCGGACAAAATTGTCTTTGTCTTGAACTGCATTGTTGTGTTAGCGCTCTGTGGTTAGCGCTCTGTGGTTAGCCCTGTGGTTAGCGCTCTGTGGTTAGCGCGCTGTGGTTAGCGCTCTGTGGTTAGCTCGTAGCTTCACATTGCATGTAAATTTACCAGTAGTAAATACTAGTTTAAGGTTGGGATGGGTTGGAGGACTTGTTTATTGTTGTTTATTCCAGAAACATTTCACTCCTTGCACACCCTGCACACGCCTTGTTACAGGCTACAGTAGTTCAGCTTAGTTATGTCAGATACGGTAACTCTCTAAAGATAGATCACTCCAAAGGCGAGAGCACAATTGAAAAGCAAAACAAAAGACGACGATAACATGCAGAGCAAAATATGTGTTGTTAAACTAATCATAGAACATATCATCGAAAAACTAGGTTGCTGTTTAACCAAATGAGCTTAAAGCACAGGGACCCTAACCCTGTTAGCTAACGTCACTGTGATGACACCAGAGCAAAGAAAATAAGCCTTATGTTCTGATGAGCTAATAATGATATAAAGGTGTTTGAAAATATTTCCATATTAAGTTTTGTGGTAGACTAAAGCTCCGGCTCCTGTGCTTGTTCCGCTCTGACTTCATGGTAAATATGGTAAAATGGACTTGAGCTTATATAGCGCTTTTCTAGTCTTCCGACTACTCAAAGCGCTTTTACACCACATGTCACACCTACACATTCACACACAAGTGTTTGATATCCGCATTTGAGGGATCAAGCAGACAGTGGCGGTGACTCGAGGTCAAAGGAGTGGCTGTGAATACTGGTACTACCTACGGCAGGGATGGGAAACTTTGGTCACAGCAAGGGCCACATTTATTTAATTCTCACTGCCAGAGGACCAAATTGTAATATACAAAAACGATTACAATCAATTATGTCTCAAATTTAACTCAACATATACCAGTGATCAAATATTATTATGGACATATTTCATGTTTCCAATTAATTGATATGTCAAAATTTAACTAAGGGCCACGTTGAGGGTTGATGGGGGCTGCCAGTTGCCCACCCCTGTCATATTTTCCATAAAGAAACGCCTCTATGTTAGCATAAATAGAGCAATAGCTCACAGAAACAGTGCAGAGGCATGTTTTTATCAATGATGACCAGAGAAGAACTGATTACTACCAAGGCCAAACCGTGCTAAATCAATCACTGAATTAATTAAGAAAAGGGAAATTTGTTACTGCGGCTCAATGGATGAGAAACACAGAGTTCCTGTAACAGCATTAATTTTATGCTAGGGAGAATACAATCTCCCTGCAGCCAGTGCACTGTGGGAAAACTGGGTAGAGGAGAATCTCACAGGAACTCTCCGAGTGTTGCAGCCAGTTTAAAGGGCAGATGAGAGTCAGACAACATTGAGAGTGCAGGACGTTCAGCTCTAAAAGCATTACAATCAAACACGTCCAGACCAGTCATAATAATACAGTACAGCAGGACATAACAACACCTGCACTGAAACAACACCGCTCTGCTCCTCGAATTGTAGGTTCAGAGGGACAGATGTAGCAGAGGAGGACGACAAGGTGCTACTGTACAGAATAAAATGTCTTCACTTTTCTATTTCTGATTTATTTTGTAAGACAATGTAGAGTCAATCTTTTTTAATTCACCTTACCATCACTGGTTTTCTAACACTAATATGTGTCCCACCCTAGTCTGTCTACAAACCCCCCAATGATGAGAAAAGTTCATCCTCTCCGTCTTCTGTCTGCTCCACTTTTCAGAAAATGTGTGCTCAAACAGGCCGTTTGGGATTTTCCCTTCATGACATCACAAAGGGCAGTAGCCCCTCCCCCAGGTGGGTGACACTCCTACAGCTAGGTGTTTGTTCTGCCCTCTGAGTCTGCCTTCTCACCGTAAACAATAGGACATGGAGCTAGAAAGCACCGAGTACACCCAAGCCCTTCCAGAGAGGGGGCTTGGTTAGACACAGCTCATTTACATATTTAAAGGTACAGACACAGAAACAGCCTGTTCTGAGCAGGGCTGAAATAGAGGGGTTTATAGGCATGATCAAATACGGTGAACATTACAACCAAAAGCACATCAGCAAGGTTGAAGAATATAAATGAAGAAAAGTAGGCTTTATGCATATCTGTATACTTTTAAATAAGCGCCAAGCCAGTTTCTGCTAATCCAAATTAATTATAATAAATATTGTCTGATTAGTTTTTTATTTATTCACATCAATTGTTTTAGGAGATTAAAAAGAAGCTAACATTAGCTTAATTAGCAGCGAAGAGAAGGCTTTGAGGTAAAACACCCTTTTATCTTGCCCCCAGGAAGTGCACTGAAGTCACTTTTACATGGTGGCCGAAGCTGGTACTGCAGTGTCATGTGATGCCATTGGACCCAAAAAGAGTTTCCCCCGCAAGCTTACATTGGGAAAGAGAAGTCTATAAATCAGTGGATATCAATCTTGTGAAAACTTGAAGCGGATACTTCACAGAGTTTATCTTTAAAGCTGTATTGTTATTTTTCTAACGCTTGCCCTTTGTGGCCTGGGTTTGATATTTTTAGTACTTGTTTATCTGTCTTTTGCCTGGACACCAAACTTGGCTGCTACAAAGAACTCCTGGGTCCCGGTGTTTCTGTGACGTTAACAGTGTTGCTTCTGGAAACAGCTCCATGATGGATGGTGTGTGTGCTGGAGCTGGTGTGTGTGTGTGTGTGTGTGTGTGTGTGTGTGTGTGTGTGTGTGTGTGTGTGTGTGTGTGTGTGTGTGTGTGTGTGTGTGTGGGGAAACTGGAGCAGTGAAGCTAATATAGCTACTCACCAGATCCCTGTGGAGAACCCAGTTGGCATGGAGGTAATGGATCCCATCCAGAATCTGATACAGGAGAGACTTCACCATCCCTCGGGGCAGCTGCATGGGCTTCTTGTTGGCCTTAGAGGCGCGGTGGAACTTGATGATGTGCTGTGAGGCGGAGAAAGGTTTCAGCTCATTGCTGCTTGTCAGTTCTTACAGAGAAACTATGAACAAGATAACAGATTTGTGTGCCTGGTGAACGAAGCTAACCTTTATTATTTGTGATTTTTGAATATTGTAATTTTACATTATGGGCAGATGATAGTTAAGAAGAGGTTTCATGAGTTCACAGTACACTACAGTGGGTGTAATTTACCACATTCTTTGGCAGGTAGCCACGTTTTGTGCATAGAAAAGCTTTACAAGGTCTTGGCTAGCTTAGAGGCCTTTCACACTTGCAGAAAACGCCTGAAAAACTCCTGATATTTACTGGAGGAGCTGCATGTTTGAACGCAAACAGACACATTTTTCACTCTGACATTAGCCGAATTTCTCCTCCAGACCACTCGTATTTTTTCAACAGCAACTTTGAGTGAGCTAATGTGAGAACGCAGCAGGATATAATCAGGAGAATTCACCTCGAGCTAACGGGAGGGGGTGGTGACGTTTATATTCTATGATCGATGCACGGTGCTCAGACTCTACAATTTCCTGATGAGCTGACAAGTCCAAAGTAATATCTACCTTATGACATCGCACATTAACCTTTGTTACCGTTCCTTTGAGCTGTTTGACTTCAGTTTGTGATCCCTAACCACTTCCTGTTTCTGTGCTTAATTTCATGTCTTAACCTTCACTCTACCAGAAGGGCCTTACTCTATTTCAAAATAAAAGCACAAAGCAAGAAAAGTACTCTCAGTTTCAGCCAGTACAGAACTTCAAAATAAAAGCCTAACAAATTTAAATTTTTAAATGTGAAATAATGGAGTGTCAAAGATATGATGAATCGCGATCAACTATTACAATTTTAATCATTTGACAGTTTAATTTTTAGGTCAACATTAGCTGTGTATACCGGTAAATTAAGCTTAATGTGGCTAACAAAGTGAATAGGGAGTTTATATATTGTTTTGTTCTCATCATGCTTTGATTGCATAATTTATCATGTCTACAGCTTGATAATTACAATAAACATCAGTAAACCTTTACTGTGAAAGGGCTGCCATGTGTTTGTTGCTAGTTGTAGTTAGCGGTAGCACAGGGAGACTCACCCAGAGGTCGTGCTCAGCGTAGTCAAAGAGGAGCCAAACCTTCCTGTCACTGTGGGACAGAAACACCTTCTGCAGGGCGATGACATTTGGGTGTTTCAGTTCTCGTAACAGCTGGAAGACACAACAAAGATGTGAGAACAATTAGGAGGTTTCCAAACAAGACGAGACATGCACACATTGAACCGGATACCAGTTTAATCTGTGGGCACAGAAACCTGTTGTCTTGACTTTTCTTCTCATGTGGTCTTTCAGTAGAAGTAAAACGGGCTTCCAGGAGCACAAAATGAACGAGAACTATTTAACGATTGCATCAGTCAGACATAACACTGATTCGTTTTGCATGTCTGCAAATTCCCTCCCTACAGAGTGTCGCCACAGTTAGTGGTTTTATCAAATATAAAAAATACTATAATAACAAAAACAACCCATTGTTTGGCCTGAACTCAGCCTAAAAAGCTCAATGAAGCCCTACAATCAACACTGAGCTCTTTCTTCTTCTGAATACAACCACATACAAGCTCTGCACAGATGATCTACCAGGGGACAACAAGCACAGCCAATAGATCTTCAGGACCTGTTTCCACAGACAGAAGTTTGAGCACTGTCAACCCAAGTTTTCAATACAAAACTATAAAATAAATGTAGTTCAGAGTTTTCAGGGCTCTCCCTCAGCTGTTTTTTAATTGTTCCTGCGCTTTCAGAGTTCTAATTTAAAAGAAGTTCAACTTTTAGAACAGCGCCACGCTCGTTAATGTCACTTCTCCCTCACTGACCAATCAAAATAAAGAAAGGGCGGGACTTTTGATATCAGCTTTGTCAACAAAATATGGAGGAGATGCTTGTCTGAATTGTCTTTTCGAGGGAACAGTTTCCAGGCCTAGAGCTGCTGCTTATGTCAGGACATAAATCCTTTACATCCGAATTGTCTTGCCTGAACATGCAATGTTCAGTTTTGTAGATTCGTGTGTCATAGCCTGCAACTTTTGCATCTTTCAACCTCCTTTCTCTGCTGTTGGTGTCCACTTTCTACTTTTCTCACAGTACAGTAAATTAACCGGACTTCTTTCCAGGGTTAGTCCTTTAGGTTCTGTGATTAGAGACCCGTCTACCAACTGTCTGCTTTTGCTTAGCAACAGTTTGTTCTTCTTGACAACAGTGATCTATCGCGGGATGGCAGACAACTGTATGTGTTATCAGCCAATCAGAATCAAGTAGTTAACACAGCTGTGTAATAATGTTTTCAACCTTACAGTGTTAAGAGCACTAAGTCTTAACTTAAATAATGTTTTTCCATTGGGTAAAGGAAACTATCCCAGTCATAGAAATGCAGCAATTAGGAGTGGAGATGTTAAACTGGTTTATTTGTAGAAGCTGCAAAGTATTGTACTGTATTGTAGCTCCAAAGGATTAAAACTTCACATGTTGTCTTTTATTTGTCAGTGTGCTTCTCACTGTAGAAGCCGCTAATGGAAGCGAGCGGTGAGACAGCTGCATAATGGAGGACTCCCATCCTGACTAATGCTGCACTCTGAGCTGCATCATCCAGGCAGCCCCTCTTCTTTTCTGTCTTTGTAACTGGATCATTGGCTTCACCCACTCCTGCTCACACGGTGCCATTTTGCTGATCCATCCCAGACTCCACATGATCAATCAGGCCCTTTGACAGGCCTCCATGTCTGCAGGGTGCATCGAGAGACAGGGAAACCAAGCTGAAACACATCTACAGTGAATCCCACCCACTGCATGAATTATTCATTTGCAAAGGCTGTTATGACCCATACTGTATCTGAGCTACAGTAAGACACAGAGACAAACAGAGCAGAAGCTCCGATCCTGGGCTTTGGCGTCTCTCACACTTTCAAAGTTAGTTATTTAAGCCCTTTATTTGTAATATTTAGATATTCTGCTTGAAGAAAATCTGCCTTTTAGTCATCTTATCGAGTGTCTATCAAAAACACTGAGGCTGAACGTGTGTTTGTTCTACAGAAACAAGAGATGTTTTTCTTCTGTTGCTAGGAAGGAACTCATCCAAGCAACACTTCTATCAGTGATTGACTTCAGAGATATTCTTTATAAGCACTATGCCTCATCCTCATTAAAAACTTTAGACTCAGTGTACCACACTGCGATCTATCTACGGTGTGGGTCTTCCTACACATCATTGTGTTTTTTACAAGACAGTAGGTTTGTCTTCCTCGTACAACCAAAGGATGGAGGATTGAAACATGTTTCTTCATAAGGCCGTACTAGATGTATGTACTCTGATGATGATTTCTAAAGCTCTCAGCAGTTGTAGCCTTCGATTTCAAGGACTCATCATGTTTGTCACTTCCCACACTCAGAGTCACCTTAAGCTAGAGCATTTAGTCGGCTTGGAAGATTTTAAAACCAGGATAAAGGATCATCAAAGGCTCAGTTGGTAGGGCCTGTGGCTCAGTTGGTAGAGTCTGTGTCTCAGTTGGGAGAGTCTGTGGCTCAGTTGGTAGAGTCCGTGCCTCAGTTGGTAGAGTCCGTGCCTCAGTTGGTAGAGTCCATGCCTCAGTTGGTAGAGTCTGTGTCTCAGTTGGGAGAGTCTGTGGCTCAGTTGGTAGAGTCCGTGCCTCAGTTGGTAGAGTCCGTGCCTCAGTTGGTAGAGTCCGTGCCTCAGTTGGTAGAGTCTGTAGCTCAGTTGGTAGAGTCTGTGGTCGACGTTAGAGTCTGTGCCTCACTTGGTAGAGTCTGTGCCTCAGTTGGTAGAGACTGTGGCTCAGTTGGTAGAGTCTGTGTCTCAGTTGGTAGAGTCTATGGCTCAGTTGGTAGAGTCTGTGGCTCAGTTGGTAGTCTGTGTCTCAGTTGGTAGAGTCTATGGCTCAGTTGGTAGAGTCCGTGCCTCAGTTGGTAGAGTCTGTGTCTCAGTTGGTAGAGTCTGTGGCTCAGTTGGTAGAGTCTGTGGCTCAGTTGGTAGAGTCCGTGGCTCAGTTGGTAGAGTCTGTGTCTCAGTTGGTAGAGTCTGTGGCTCAGTTGGTAGTGTCTGTGGCTCAGTGGCTCAGTTGGTAGAGTCTGTGTCTCAGTTAGAGACTGTGTCTCAGTTGGTAGAGACTGTGGCTCAGTTGGTAGAGTCTGTGTCTCAGTTGGTAGAGTCTATGGCTCAGTTGGTAGAGTCTGTGTCTCAGTTGGTAGAGTCTGTGGCTCAGTTGGTAGAGTCTGTGGCTCAGTGGCTCAGTTGGTAGAGTCCGTGTCTCAGTTAGAGACTGTGTCTCAGTTGGTAGAGACTGTGGCTCAGTTGGTAGAGTCTGTGTCTCAGTTGGTAGAGTCTATGGCTCAGTTGGTAGAGACTGTGTCTCAGTTGGTAGAGTCTGTGGCTCAGTTGGTAGAGTCCGTGTCTCAGTTAGAGACTGTGGCTCAGTTGGTAGAGTCTGTGTCTCAGTTGGTAGAGTCTATGGCTCAGTTGGTAGAGTCTATGGCTCAGTTGGTAGAGTCTGTGTCTCAGTTGGTAGAGTCTGTGGCTCAGTTGGTAGTGTCCGTGGCTCAGTGGCTCAGTTGGTAGAGTCTGTGGCTCAGTTGGTAGTGTCCGTGGCTCAGTGGCTCAGTTGGTAGAGTTTGTCTGTGTTCGGTGCTGAGCTCCTGTAGAGTTGATGTGTCCTTTGGCAAGACACAAGACACTCCAAATTGCTCACTCTACTTTTTGGCGGCCTATGAATGGATAGATTAATACTGATGGACACTTCACAAAGCACCATCATTGTGTGAATGGGTGTGAATGTGTATGTGTGACCTGCAGTGCAAAAATGATTTCAGCAGAAGACTATAAAAGAACTATACAAGCTCAAGTCCATTTACCATTTGCTTATTAAATGAGTAACACAGATTGAACAATCGAGAAACATGCAAACCAAAGAGGGTAAAGGCTGAGTTGAGCAAGACTGTCACTGAAACAAAGAGAAAGACAGCTTGCACAATGCAGATCATTTCATTCAGCAGGTTAGTGACGTTTAGAGCAGCTCTTCATCAGTCCAGAGAGTAAAGACAGATAAAAAGCGTCTTTAAAAAAAAAAAAAAAAATCAAAGATCACATTCCTGTTATACGTGGCACCAGAAATCAAAAAGCAGTGTGAACCTGCAGTTTGATGACTCCTTTGCACTCAAGTGTAACTAAAGCTGCGTGAATACCATGGGGTTCTGAAACCAGGTCAGCAGCTCTCAGGAAAAGGCTCTAATTTCAGAGAATCCATTGACACAAATCCTGAGTTACATGTTAGAGCTGCTCTCCTGCAGACTCACAAACTGGACCGCACCGGTATTACTTACCTCATTTATCATCTTAAGCATCTTAAAGTGTCTAAAACAGGCTTTATAAACTATTGTTTTGTTCTGGACTACAGTCTAATCAACTCAAATAGACAAGGTTAAGTAACTTACCTACACTTTAGTTAAGGTGGAAATAAATGACACCCAGGGACAACACTAATACAAAGCTGTTTAGCAGGTATTGTGATGGACATGTTTGGCTATTTAGTGTAGCATTTTATCAAGTTACCACTTAGAACAAACTACAGCTGAGGCTGATGGGAATGTCACTATAACAAAGCTACAATTTAAATTGTGACCAGATGTTTTTGAAATATGAAATCAGCTTTCAGACTCAGTTCAACGATTTAACAAAGACTTTGACTTGAAAATCAAATGGCTGAGGTGAAAACACATCAGACAAACCCAAAGTCAACTTCTCACTTAGAAGCCAAGCCTCACTGTCAGTGTCATGCTTTGTAGAGCTGGAAAGAGTTGAAGAAGAACTAAGATACATTCAACCAGATACGAATGTCCTGCCAGATCACCTTTAGAGAAAAACTGCACAACCACAGACAGCTTTCAGGGTTGCTGCATACTTTTTAATATGAAATGTATGACTGTTAAAGACAATTCTAAGACCCAAACAAAGAAAAATTCACTTTGTCATTGCACCATGTAGCCTTGGAGCTTTTTGGATATCATGTGGTACTTAGCTTTGACCCTATTGTTCAAAGTTTAAGTTTTCTTAGCACATCTTTCAAGTCACCATCATCATTGTTTGTCCCTGCCAGCCATCCATCCATTATCTATACCACTTTAACCGTTAGGGCAAGTGGGGGTGC